CCTTCGCTCCAAGCGGGAGCGAGGGACCCTCCACCGAATTGCCGCCGAATAGCTGGACGTGCTGCCCCTCTCCGGAGTGGCCGCCCCAAGCACCTGCTTGGTAAGCTGGTGCCTGGAGACGGCCCTGCTCCCTACTTGCCCTGGCCCCGCATCACTCCCGGAAGCGGACAGCACCACGTCTCTGCGGCCCCTGGGGCGGGGGAGCAAAGGGCTCCATGTGCTGCCCTTGCCTGCAGGCACCGCCCCCCACAGCTCCCATTGTTCAGGAACAGGGACCCTCAGACAATGGGAGCTTCAGGGGTGGTGCCCACAGGCCTGCCCCACCCCCAGAAGCCACTGCCAGACATGCTGGCTACTTCTGTGAGTGGCACAGGGCCAGGGAGGCAGGGAGCCTACCTTAGCCCCGCTATGCGCCGCTGTCACCCTGGAGCTGCTCGAGGTAAGCGGCACTGGGCCGGAGCCCACACTCCAAACCTCTCCTGCACCCCAACCCCCTGCCTTGAGCCCCCTGCCGCACCCCTCCTGCACCCCACACCCCTCCTGCACCCCACACCCCTGCCCTGAGCCCCCTGCCACACCCCTCCTGCACCCCACACCCCTCCTGCGCCCCAATCCCCTGCCATACCCCACACCCCTCCTGCACCCCAACCCCTTGCCCTGAGCCCCTTCCTGCACCCTACACCCCCTCCCACACCCCACGCTCCCTGCCCCAGCCCTACATCATGGCCCTGTATACAATTTCCCCACCAAGATGTGGCCCTCGGGCCAAAAAGTTTGCCCACCCCTGCACTACACTGTCCTATAATGAGGAGGTGAATGCAGTGACTAAATTCTACATAGTTGTGAATTAATCCAATTACATTTAGAAACCAGGTTCATTAACTACATTGTAGTTCCGTTGTAATTAGCTTATTTCATTTTTAGATACAAACACTTAGCACAATATATCAAAAAGGTCTCTTCACACTCAGGCCAGTGTAAATACATAGAAATTACTTCACTGGAATATAAAAGTACCTGATCAACAGCATATGGAACACAAGGGACAATAATAAGAGATTCCATTTTAAAGTTAATTTGCTATTTGTATGAACTAGTGGTAAGGACAGATGTAATCACAGTCACTGGGCTAGAAAGGGAATCCACATGGCTTACCTGGAACTGGATGGTCAGATCCCTGAAGTCTGTCCATGGGAAAGTTTTACTGGTATACATTTTTCTGCTATAACTATACAGGTGTAAATATAGTGAAAGTGTGTGTCCACACTGCTTTGTTTATGTTGGCTTAAACTACTTCGCTAGTGACTCATTGCATCCACACAGCTCTTCACTTTTTCAAAATAAGTGCACAGCCTTCTGGGTAGTTATCCCATGGTACAATGTTCCATAGCAGGGCTCTCTGCATTCTGGGATTTTTTTCATGGTGCATTGTGGTATGCCTACCAGAACCTACTGGAATTCTGATACTTGAGATCAAACTTACAAACGTCCCTGGTTCCTCTCCCGATGAACCATAATTCATCCGTTTTTTTTGCAAGACAGCACCATTTTCCAACTGCTGCCAGACAGCATGCAGGAAACACTGCTGAGCACTGTGATTCTGACAGGCATTCGTTCAAACTGGCTGTTCCACATGAACTGGCTTTCCCACCAGTGGATGGCTTTAGAGGGGTTGTGGGTCAGACATGGTGATGCCACAGTGATAGAGGAGGATGGGATAGAACATCACGCTGTAGAAAGGCTCCTTCACTAGAGATCTGTGCAGCGCTCGCCCTAGAGCTACAGCGGCAGAATGCCAACACGAGAGTTCCTTGCAGCATGGAGATGCATGTGGCCATTGCTGTCTGGAAGCACCCAGCCCTGACAGCTACGGGTCAGTATCTATCCAGATTGGTTTTAGTAGATGAATTGTCAGGGGCATTTTCATGGAGGTGGGGACTGCTATGGAGAGGTGCTGCTGGGAGCTTGGCAATGCATGGGAGATTACTGATAGATTTGCTCGGTTGGGGTTCCCAGATTATGTAGGAGTGATTGATGGGGACCCATGTTCCTGATATTCGTCCCCAACACCAGGTCTCAGAGTCCATCATCAAAAAGAGGTCTGGTGCTGCAAGGCCTCTGATCACTGTGCAGCATTCGGCATTATTAATGTGCGGTGGCCATGGTGCCAGGATCTTTAGAAACTCAGACCGGTTTTACACATTGAAAAAGCGAACTTTTGCCCCATTGGCCATTATGGATATAAATGGTTTTGTGATTCCTCCTGTTGTGACTAAAGGGTCAAATTTGACCCTTGAATATGCAGTTGTGACATTCTTTTACTTCAACGCTAAGGTAAAGGATACAATAGAATAGCTCACACTTGAATCATGTGTGTATTCTTGTATTCAAACCGAGGCCCAATTTTTAGGCCAAGTTACCCACAATTCAACTTTGAAGTGCTTTACACAGTTTTATTATCCTTGAGTTAACAGACTTTCTAACTATATAAATGTTATAGTAAAGAAGAAGAATGAATATTCTCTTGCGACCTTCAGGAAAAAAATATGATTGTAAAGCAAGGAATAAACAAAGGCCTCTTAATAAAGCCACACATTTTAGACCCTAAAAGAATGACCTGCCTTTCTCTTCATTTAGATTTCTATATAACATTGTGAATGAACCTGTACTGGGAAGTCAGAAATAAGATGTAACACACTGAAAGGTCTCAAAATGGACTTAGTACCAAAATAAATGCTTCAATTTATCTCCTAATAAGTGACATAAAACTTTATAAAGGGTGCTACAATTAGTTTTCTCTGTGTAAATGCAGACAGTACCTCGTTGCTGAAAGGTATCAAGGACCCACATAAAGAAGCTATAAAATTAAATCTCAGCCAGGAAAGTGAGACCAAAAACCTATCTCCAAAATTCTTCTGAAGATGTTTCTTATCTTTGAGCAAACTCAGTGGTTTCATCACAACCATTAGTGCGCCTCTTAGGAATGTGCAAAAGTGTGCAAAACTTAATATGTAATCTCACAACATTCCCTAATTCAGGGGTAGACAACCTATGGCACGTGTGCCAAAGGTGGCATGCGAGCTGATTTTCAGTGGTACTCACACTGCCCGGGTCCTGACCACTGGTCCCGGGGGCACCACTACTGGCCTGGGGTACCGGCCGCCAGCCCCCTGACAGCTGGGGTTCCATCCGCCAGCCCGCTCAGCCCGCTGCTGGCCCCGGGTCCCAGTCACCGGTCCTGGGGGCTCCGCTGTCAGCCTCGGGTACCAGCCGCCGGCCCCCTGCCAGCCGGGGTTCCGTCAGCCGGCCCCTCTCAGCCCACTGCCGGCCCCGAGTCCCAGACCCCAGTCCCGGGGGCTCCGCTGCCAGCCTGGGGTACCAGCCGCTGGCCCGGGGCTCTGCAGCCGCCCCAGCTGTGGCCCACTGGCCCCATCCTGGGGCAGTGAGGGGTGCAGACAGGGGCAAGAGGGGGCACAGCTCAGCACCCTCACCTTAAAAATTATTCCAGCGCCACTGTACTGGGATATTTTTAAGTCCTGATTTGCTCCTTACATCACTATCATGCCACGTGGGACAGTGCACTGCATTTGACGTTGAGATTAGAATGTACATGCAAGAACTGGAATTAAAGTTTTCTGACAGATTTCAAGATTTCCAGCGATTTGGCCCAATGCTTTCTTTTCTAATTAAACCTGAAAAGTTCAACGAAAGTGACTTGGATTTGTCTGTATTTCAGTGGATGGGTGTTGAAGATTTCGAAATGCAGCTCATTCAGTTAAAAAGCTCAGAACTGTGGGCATCAAAGTTTGGAGATCTGTGGAGTGCACTTGAAGCTACCAAGAGAGATCATGGGGCCTCTATTCTGACCTGCTGGACGTCCCTGCCAGTGAAATTTAACAGTTTGAAGAAAATTGCATTTGCAATGCTTTCAGCATTTGGATTCACATACCTGTGTGAACAGGTATTTTCACACATGAAATCTGTCCTCTGTCCCTTTCAAAGCTGGTTAACAACTGATC